GAGAGAGAGAGAGAGATAGAAGGGCATACATAATAAATATATATAATGTGGGAAGAAATTAAAAAAATTTCATATAGCTACTCATGAAAAATTTGTAATTTAATATTTATAAAGTTTGTAACAAAAGTATAATAAGTATGCGTTTATATTTCATAAAAAATACAAGCAATATTTTATGGCATTTTCAAGAATTTATATGGAATTATATTCCAGCCATACACATATTAAATAAATTGCGTATGGTACGCTACATTTTAGTTAAAAAATTTCTGATTCTTTTGAAAAGAATAAACTGTTTCGCTTAGCAGTGATGATAAATTCCAAATAAAACGAATGTGATACGAAAATACTTTCAAAATGATAAGCTTAAATGTACCAAATTTAAACACTCTATAAGACTAGAATTTATTAATAAATAATATTTTCTTACAGACTTTAACTATTATTTATTAGATTCAAACTTTTAGTTATTAGAAAATACAAATAAAAAAAAAAAATCCCTTGCCATATTTAGCAATATTGAAAAATCTTAAATATTTTAAAAACACTTGAATATAATTATTGAAATTAGATTATCATTATCGAAATTTCTTTAGAATAACATAATAATTTTTTTTATTGAATTTCATGAAATATGTAAATTGCAATGGGATGCTTATATGTAACATAATAGATTATACTATAACATTTTAATAAATCAAACATTTATCAATGTATCGGAGTATTAGAAAATGTTAACTAAGAAAATATACATTTCACTTTTATTCTATTATTGTTTTAATTGCATTGTACTATTAATTTTCAATAAAAATTACAAAATACAAAAGGATAAAAGATTTAATAGAAAGAGTAAGAATGGCTGTAGATTTTAATTGATTTTTTAACTTATTAAATGACTTGATAAAAATAAAAATCGCAAATAATCATCCCTGATATTACAGAATTAAATTTTATATTTTAGTTAATTTTATATTTTAGTCTAAAAATAGAGTACCGGGCTAGGAGGGTCAAATATCTAGAATTAGGTGTAAACTCCCAGATGATGGAAGGCAAGTGGGCAGGATAGTGCATGTATTCAATAATAAATAGATTTTGTATTTGTTGTAGTTTATTGCGATAATTGCATTGGTTGTATCATAATGATTTTTAGTTTATGTTTGAATGCCTTCGTTTCTTGAGTTTTGTATTGCTATTACCATATAGAGCTGTAATGTGTGTTGTATGTACAGGTAGAAGGGCGTAGCCTTCTGGTCCTCTATATGTAATGCACGTGGTGGTGGTGTTATACACGTAGAAGAACAAGGTCGTAAACCCCTGTGCTTCCTTGTGCAGTGGCACGTGGCAGTATCTTGAATTTGCCTTAGTATTTTGTCTTATTGCTTACGTTGAAGGCTCTGCAGGTGCGCTTTTGGTGGCACTTCATCTTAGTCTGCAGATATTGCTGCGTACGGCGCCTCGTAAGTCTTTCTTGTGGGAGCTAAACTTGCCCCTTATGTGCTCGCAGATTGTGTGAGCTTGGTCGCTCTACAATTCTTTACCTTGTGAGGCATATTGTGTATTATTATCGTTATTAAGGAATGGAACTTTTGACTTGTGAATGCTGCAGATTTTGTGCTCTTGATGGCAGCTCGTGATATCTGCAGGTTGTGCCTCGTGCGGCAGCTTCTAGTTTATGTTTTGTGTTTTTCTGGCTATACCTCGCGTATTGTTTGCTGAATTTGCCTTCGAGCGTCTCCTTATAAGTTATGATTATGTTGTGCTCTGTGAACCACTGTTTTCTTGTTCCCTTTTCCTTATCTTGCACTGCCTTTGCCTCTTAATCGGCCTTTACTGTGTATGTCTACATCCTTGTTATTTGGCGTTCCCTTGGAGAAACAGCCTTGCCAGTTTCTCTGGTGACAAGAGACTTCTGTGTGCGCCTTGCTGGCGTCTTTCTTGAAGGCATTATCTCGGCCACCGCGTGGCCCTTATGAATTTCCTGCTTTTTGGCGTTTCCAATCAGAGCGCCTCTTTCCGGGCTTCTCCAATGGAATTGATTCTTTCATAATTGGCGGCTCCAATCAGAGCGCTTCTTACTTGCATTCCCACCATGAGAGGGGAACTTCTTTGGCACGTTCTCGCTTCACTGTCCGAGCCACGTGTAGCTGGGTTTGACAACAGCGTATGCGTACAGTGTTGCCTTTATTATCCCTTTTTCGGATGTCAAACGACGTGATTTTTTTGCTTCTATTTTTATGACTTGATTATGCCAGAAGTATTATGACTCGTCGTCGATAGATGCTTTGTGGCGAGGCCGTGTCAAATGTCTCGTAGCATTAGTTTTATGACGGCTATTTGCTGAACACTTGGAACTTTGTTCTCGCCACATGTGTTTATGAATTGTATTTTCTTTAGATATTCGACGTTTTGCTGAATTGTTTAGATTTAGTTAATCCGAGGCGCGTTTTGAATGTTATTTCTCGAGTAGTCGACAGTTCGCCTTTTTCGGAACTGTTATCTCGAATTTTCCAGATGTTTAATGAGCTGGGAGTTTTCTTACATTCTCGAACAGTTAGTTAATAATAGGCTTTTTGTAAATTAAAAATTTTAAAAATCGAATAATCAATTAAAGAAAATATTACGTTAAAATTGTATTGCTAACATCAAAGTACGTACGGCGCAAATACCACAAAATATTCTTGTCCATTTTTACAACTATAAAATTGAATTATTTTAGTGCACAATACATGAAGTACGAAGTTTTTATCATCTCCTTGATACTTTTGTCTATATACATGCGCACCTAGGTAAAGGGAATGCGCAGTAAAGATGATGATCAGGGAGAAAGGGTGGGATAGAAAAAGACAAATATTGGCCGGAGTTTGTATATTTGCAAACACGTACACTTGTTACCAGTACTACTTGCAACGATAATTCAAGTTTCTCTCTGAGTATTTCACTCTACTCTCTTCAGATTTGTTTCTTCACCTTATTTACCCTTTACCTAACTCGTCAACGATCCTCCTCCTTCTTCGTTTTTTTTTGGAATATTATTTAAAAGCTAATAGCCACACTTCTCTAGTTGACAATAGACAAAAAACGAAAAACAAAAAACCAAAAGATAACATTATCAAATCAGCAAATTTGCATTTTTAGGCTTTCGGGTCAAGTATTTTTTTCTTGTCCCACTTCTGCTTCTTTTGATCGAGTAGACAGTATAATTTTTTTAGTAAGGCTTTTTTGAATTTTTTTTAAATTCTTTTTATTGTTTATTTCGTACATTCTATTGTTTTCCTTTCCCCTCCCCCCTTTTTTCTATTTCTTTTTTTTAGCTAATATCATTGAAGTTGAAATATTTTTGATTTTTAATTTTAATATTATTAATTTTTCCTTCAACTGCCGATTGCCTGTCATAACAAGAGTAAAAAGTAAAAAAAATTTAATTTTTTTTCGTAATACAGTGTTTAACAAAATTCTGAAATCTATATTTATAAAATATATTTGTGAATTATAGTATCTAGCTAACTACATTATTTAAAAAAAAAATTTTTTTTTTTTTTTTTTTTTTTTTTTTTTATAACTATTGATGAACGTCAATTTTCTTTTCAATTTTTTAAGCATTTTTTTCATCCTAAATAAATAATATCATTTTGAAGGTGCGGATTTAATTAAGCGAATACTTTGCACATAGACGTTTCGAATTTCAATTGAATACAGTATACTGAATAATGGAATTAGTATGAAATTCATGGCCATTGTATGGTAAAATTGACAGCCTCTGTAACTAATAAATATATATATATATCATTCATTATATCTGCCAGAAACTTGCATGATGGATAAATATATAATTAGTCATTAAAATTGACAGTATAATAAATTTGAATAACAATGTTTCTTCGAGTATATTACAAATACTTATAATTATTTATGAACTCTATTAATAAGCAATAATATTAGACAATTTATTATATATTTAATGATATAATACCAAAAATGGCACAATATAAATTTATTAAACAATTAAATGGTATTATTATCAATAGCTCATTTTGCAGTTTTCATTAATTCATATCAGAATGGTTTTTCACTTATTATTTGAACTGCAAACAGTTGTACTGCATTAAAATAATGCAGATTAAAATTTTATTAAATTTAATTATTCGGTTGAATTGAAATCAAAGAACCGTCATCTAAGTGGAAGATGGGCTTTTTTTTTTTTTTTTTTTTTTTTTTTTTGAACAAAATTCAATTTTTCATTTTTTACTGGGAATTAATCAAACTTAGTCAATATTTATTTTATAAATGAATACCTACGATGTGTCTTAAATAAATGCATTGACAAACTTTATCAATAATTATTTGAATAAATCGATAAAATAATATAATTATAATATTCGTACATTCCCTCCAAAGAATCTACTATTACAAGTAATAATTTTATCGATATTTTTTGGATTCAGATTTTGTAAAGCAAAAATACAATTTTTTTTTCTATTTAACAATATTGTTCATAAATTTAAATTAAAAAGTATATGCATCCTCACTTTTTATCAAGTTATAATTAGTTTGCAAGCATCCGAGCAGTTAGATTAAACTGTCATTTTTAAGGTAAAAATTCATTTAAAGCATATGAAAACGCTATTAAACTTTATTTAATTGTATAATTATAAAAATAATGGGTATCGTAGTAAAAAGTTTAACTTCTCATACTGTCAACATGATGCCGCCCGCAATTGTTTCCTCGCATTCAATATTGTAGCCAAACTATATTATGCACAAGCTATAATCAATGTATCATTTATTATCTGAAGCCTAATTATTCGATTATAAGAGAAGGTAAAGTAACAGTTGTAATGTATAAAATATCTCTAATATAAGAATACTGTTTTTCTATTAGACAAAAAAAGAAAAAAATAGAAGAAAAAAAATCGATTGTAATAAACGTGCTCGTGATAATTACAAGACTTTTCTCACTGTATGTTAATGCTTTGAATTTCGTATTTTCCATTTTGCTTCAGACGTTACGAAATCCGTGAGTGCCGAGATCGCAAACAATAGTCTCGCAAAGGGCAGCGAGACAGAGATAATCGAGGCAGAGGCCGAGGGACCGAAGAAGGAAAAGGAAGAGAGCGGTACAGAGGACTCGGAAGGAGAGAATAGCGTCGACAAGGCTGCGACGAGGATACAAGCAGCTTTCCGCGGACATCTCGTAAGACAGAGCATGAAAAATACAGGATCATCGACGAAACAGGGACAAAATACGGAACCCGAGCCGACTAAAGAGCAACTCGAACAGGAATTCCGTGAGGACGATAAAGGTATGGCACGGGTGGGGGTGGGGGGAAGGATCGTGTTATTTGACATCTCTATTTGTTTGTTTTATTTACCCATGTCAATTAATTTGCCGTTCTTCGTACTCTCTTTTTCAAATTGCGCGTGTATTTCGTTGCTCTTTTAATTTATTCCCGTGTCTCGTAAAAATGAAAATTGAGCGACATGAAGCAGCACTTCTCGAATTACATTTTTATTGCATAATATTTAGTTACAAATAATATTTTATTACAGTACCTTTCTATTCTATTGCATCAATTATTACAGATTTTTGTTACGTAATTTTATACAGTACATTGGTAATGGACTATTTCATTTTTCAAACTGAATCACAAATATATTTACTCAATTATTTATTATTAATGTCACTTTACAAATAACAAAATTAATTTTTAGTATTAAAAATTCAATATGCATATAAATTAAGTAATAAAAAATATTCTACTTGAATATTCTATTGACTTATAGACGTTTAACTGAAATAATAAAATTGTCGTAGACTATTTTAACTCGGAATGAGGGATCAATAAATATTATATTTGATATGATCGATAAATTAATTTATTATTAATATACTACATTACTTATTCAAAAGCTAAGCAACCGTTGCGGGTCATACCATTAAATTTTGATAAAATATAGATATAATCAAACAGTATCATTCTTTTTTTCTTTTTTTTTTCTTGCTATTTATTATCAATAACATTATTGGTACAAATTTTTACTTTTCATTTAATAATAATAAGATTTATATATATTATAGAAAAAATTTATATTCAATGATGTTTATAGGCTTATTCATATATCTTGTAATTATAGAAATAATAGACAAAGTTTAATCATTATTTCTCGTTAATCAAATTTAATAATACTAATAAAAGTATAATAAATTTTCTCAATTAAAAATAAATAGAGAAAATTTCTTGATATATTTTACCGTGAATTTTCTCAATAAAAAATTAGTCCTAATTACGAACAATGTTCACAATATTTTTTATTCTTAATGCGCAAATATCAAGAATTATCTACTTTTTAATTTAGCTGTTTACAAATTTTAATACAAAAATTTTCATATTTATCAATGACAACTTAATTAATCAATAATTATTTGAGAAAAATAGAGTTTTAAATGTTCAATGAAGTAAACTTAGTAACTACATTTTTGTATTGAATACTTTATAAATTAAATATTATCGATCGCAATTTATAAAAGTAATATAAGTTTTCATAAAAAGTTTATCTTTCTACTATCTGGTAAAATAAATATAAATCACTTGTTCAATAATTTCGAAATAATTTGTATTTTAAAATTTTTAAGTACTTTTAAATTTATCTAGCTTTGGTGTTTTATGTATTTTTTACTTTTACAGTATATCATTATAATTCTTTATATTCTCTCTCTCTCTCTCTCTCTCTCTCTCTCTCTCTCTCTCTATATATATATATATATATATATATATATATATTTTTTTTATACAATTATTTTTAATTAATTACCATTGCTTATTTTAACTATTTTTGCGCGATAAATTCAATATTATGCGTAGATTACGGTCACTATAGTATATTATCTATTTTTGCTAATTGGTAAAATTGTAATAGTCCATAAGAATAATTGTAGTTTGATATTCGTAATTCATAGAAATAGTAAACGAAAGGGATAGAAGCATAATAATAAAGCATAATGATCTTCACAATGTTGTCATACTTATTTCTTGATAAATAAGAATAAACTTTATAAAATAAATCCTTATATTTATTTATTAAAAATAAGTGTTAAAGAGCAATGATCTTTAGACTTAAATTTTGTCTGTATTGCAAAGAAAATATTAAAAATTATGAATATCATTTGTGACTGACTATGCGAATAGTCATAATTAGTCGTATTATTATTATTATCCGCAAATGTTAACGATAATAATATTGAATGACGACGTATCAAAATATTAGCGAGAAAATTCGTCAATCCTATCCACGAATCATTTTGAAATATTGAATAAATTCTCGATTTAGAACAATGTACGCGCAATAATTACTTTACTAGTTTATAAATATTGTAAATAATGTAAAGCACAATAAAATGTTTATTACGGTTTCGTAATAAACGAGCATAGTTTCTACATGTAAACATTAAATAACTTTTGGGTTTCTCATTTACTTTATACTTAAATTAATATCGCAATTATATATATATGTATATATATATATATATATATATATATATATATATATATATATATATATATATTTGCACATGGCGATAAATGAAAAGCATTGGAATATAAATGTTATTAAATAAAACTTATACTATTATCTTCCTCATACACAAAGTTTAAGCAATTTACAGCAAAAATACAGGCATTACATTAAGCTCTAATAATTGCCAATGCCCATTCGAAGCTCAATAGCACTGGCAATATAAAGCTCCACGAGTAAACTTAATCGCTAACAAATGGAATTGCATTTAGCGCATTGAGTGTATCCCTAGTAAAATTCCCAATAAGGCCATAATGACGTAATAACGTTGTACTCGTCCTTTCAGACCTGTGTCACGCGGCCACGAAGATCCAGGCAACTTTTCGCGGACACATGTCGAGGAAAGTCGATCAAGCCGCCACCGCGGCTAAGGGCTTAGTGGAAAGTGCAGCGGAGAAAATTGAAGAGAAGGTAAGTTGACATAATGTTAGGTCTCGAAGGCACCAATGAGAAAGGCCAAACGGACGGCATTTTATTCTTGCTTCGTTGCACAAAACTCGTCTCTCGTATGATTATCGCTCGGTGCTCAGTTCCTCGTTTCGTTACGCAATAGGGATCGATGGAAGAAAATGCCGAGAATTAAAATGGACTGTTTAAATGGGGCGATGCTTCCTAATTAATGGCAGATAATCGTTTCATCCAGGCTTACGGCGCACGAATTCAATATTTTTAAACGAGTCTCTGCAATACGGCTCTCGAAATAATTAATTCGAGGCTTGCGTGGTAACTGGCGATAAGTTACTTTAATATCGATGTATTCTTAAAACTTTCCTTTAACCATTAGTAAGTAAGTAAGTTTTTAATGCATTTTGTATTCCTTTTCTTAACCAAAATAAAGTTCGAAAGTATAAACTGTTGTTTAATATTCTGTGTAAGCCGAATATATTTTCTTATCTTATAGCAAATGAGTATTATGAAAAGTTGGCTCGAGCTCTAAGAATATAAAACAAACTTTATTTCGCGAGTAACATATAAGAAAAAGAATTCTGTTAGAAAATTGCCATTCCAAGATCATAAATTGTATTATTATATCGGAATCGTACATAATAAATACAACGCACACATGGCTGTTAAACTACTGTGGTAACTAATCTTAATGATGCCATTATCAATCATAAATTTTAATTACTTTATTAAATACGCGATATTAAATGTACAAAATAGAAAATTACATTAATGTAAGGATGGGCACGAGAGAGAGAGAGAGAGAGAGAGAGAGAGAGAGAGAGAGAGAGAGTAATATGTTAGTGATAAATTATCATCCCATTTATTTATAAAGTAAAAGCGATTAATTCAGACCACATGCGTACGTTAGGACCACATATTTTACGATATTTAATCCATAAGGTCCGATGGAAATACATCATTAGTGGCTGTCAGGTCATATAATTAGCGGTCGATTGATGCATATCAAAAAGTTTGTGCGCAAGCGCAGCGCCTTTGCAACAATGATTTCCTTACTTTTACACGACTGAGCCCTCGTTACATTCGACGATAACACTTTCCCGTGAATTTGGTCATTTGACTTCAATGGCGTGCTCTCGTCGTTACACCCACGCCGTTTCAAAGCATTTCGTGCAGTATAATCTTCTTCTCCTTTTGTAGGTCTTTGTGTGCGTGCGTAATAGCCGAAACTCGGACATTTTCTCAATGCACGCGCAATACACGCTCAACCGTAACTCTCACTCTCCTTTTGCATTCTCTCCTTTTCTCGATAACTCTTATGCGTTTATGCACTCGTTGCTTTGCTTCGGTGCTTTTGTCGTCGTATGCAACAATCATCTCCCTGCGACATGCGTTCGTTGAACAATTGTATCCTCTTTGGATCTGTACTCGGTATCTGGACATCGCATTTTCTCATTGTGCTCTATTTTCATTTTATGCATATATTTATTCGCTCAAACAATGGATTACTTTATTTAAAAAAAATTTTTCTTTCCTATCTATATTATTAATGCACGTATCATTGAATAATGTACCTGAGTTTTAGTAAAAATGAACCCACTTATTAAAACATAAGTATATTTATAGAAAATTTCTTATAGCTAATATAAATGCTAGATATTTCTCTCTCTCTCTCTCTCTCTCTCTCTCTCTCTCTCTCTCTCTCTATACATATATATATATATATATATATATATATATATATATATATATACTTCTGGTGTACAAATATGTAGCCAACATAAGTATAAAGCTTAATTAAATAACAAATGTTAATCTTTCGTGAATAGCTGTATTATTATCCCCCAAATATAAACTGCCGATAATTTAAAACGTTCAATAATGTTAATAATTATAAAAGAATCAAAAATACTTTTTATGAAATGATTAAAGAAAAATATATCCCGTAAGCTACTTCAACTCAGGGAAAATATTTATTAAATGTCAGTGACATTCAATTAATATATCAATACCTTATTGACCTCAAAATGCATATTAATAAATATTATAAATTTTTGTTTGATCGTTTACTGGTAGTACAGATAAAACAATTAAATACAAAAACTCAAATGAAATTATTGTATGAAAATGTTTCTAATATAAGCTTGTAGCAAGATTATTACAGCAATTGTATTATAAAACATGACGGTCTTTGATGATGAAGCTTTTTGATAATTTAAATATGAAAAATAATGTGAAAAATAAATTTTGCAATGTTATAATAAAGTCTTCGATGATATGTACGAATGAATTTAAGTAAATTTTTTAGTTTTTAAAAATTCATGTAATTTAAATCCAACAAAAGAAATATAAAAATATTTACTCAAAAACATATTGAATAGAGAAAGTATATTAAAACATCTAAACAGAAGCGATGCCTGTTCCAATTTCTCATCGCGCATCATAAATTTACTCAGACGTTTACAATTTTATTACATATTGTAAAATGAAGTCAGCATATAAACAACAATAGTAATTTTAAACCGTTAGTTGCTTTTTAATAATCGTTTAATTATCATTAATTTGTAAAAATAAAATCTACAATTAATTAGAAAACAAATTAATTAATCAATATAGATTGAATATAATAAAAAGCGTAATTATAAAAAGATTTTTTTTTTTCTTTAAAGGAATATTATGTAGTATTAATGTAATAAGTAACTTTAGATTGTAAATTTAATTTTACCTTTTATATTCAGTTTGTTGTATAATGTAAAGCAGTGCTGCGTATATTTAATATTTGAGAGTTTGAGCTTTCATAAATGTATATATATATATATATATATATATATATATATATATATATTGAATTTCATATATATTGAATAAAAGTAAATATTTATCATATCATACGTGAGCACTTTGGAGGAAGGCAACAAAATATTGGTATTAATTTTACAATATTGTAGAAAAGGTCAGTTTACAATTTACTTTATTATTATAATATTATCAAGATAATGATAAAATATAAATAAAAGGATAAAACAACTTTTATATTTAAAAGCTCAACGGAAAGTCTCATCCCTTCGCTCCTACTATTCGGTATGTTTCAATGAATAGTGAATTATATCAATAATCTGATTGTATCTCCAGTTTATTGAATTCGCTCAGATGGTCCCAATATTAGGGTATTAAAGAAATATCGAATCTGCCTTCGGGGCTTATTCGTTTTGAGTCCGATCACTGTATCGCAGTGGAATTGTCTTGTTGCGGAGAAAATTTTCCATTTCCAAGTATCGGTCTTGTGAGAAATTTCGCTGCTTAGCGAGCATTAAGCAAACGTAATAATTATTTATAAAATAATCGTTAAATTGCTTATTGACGATGCTTTGAAATAGTATTCTAAATTTAGTATGACTTATTGATACACATCAACGTTCAAATCTTAAAGTATCCAACAATATTATATGCATGACCAAAATTGCTTACATTCGTGACGTTGAACAAGCCCGAAAGCTCTTTCGACTTTCTTTGTTCTGATTTTAAAATAATAAACAGCTGCATATATGCTAGCTCATCGAAAAATCATGACGATAGTATTAGAGATAAGAAGATCGAAATCTCCAAGGGCGAATGGGAAAACAACTACACGCGGTTGCACTCGACTTTACGTGAAAAAGTACACGGGGGGCATCCATTTTCTTTATTTCACCGGAAATAAGTGAGCAAATTTGGCGAATACATACGCTTGAAGCTACAGTTTGGATTTTCTAAGGTGAAATTGAATGTCAGCGGTAAAGTAAAGTAGAAGGAGAGAAGCAAAAGGATGAGTTAAAATGAAAGATCTTTATCTTCATAAGAAGGTAGGAATATCCGACTTTGGATTTGGTGTACTCGGCGAAACCTAGGATACTGGCAAATATACTTAAAGTTAGACAGAAGAAATAGCAAGAGAGATACCAATTTGGATGATGTTCCACTTTTTTAATTTAGAATATTACATACTAGAACCTTGGAATCGCATTGAACATTTTGGTAACAAATGTTGACAGGGTATAAAGCTTTTTTTTATTACTTTGGTTGTGTTGGCTTTAGCTAGGTCGAGAATTGCTTTAAGTAATTGAATGATCTCTGGAAAACTTGTGGCTCCACCTGCATTCTTCCAACGCCGAATAGTGGTCGAGTTTTATTTTATTTGTTTACTTATTTTTTTAACATTTGATAGTCGGACAGCATTTAGCCAGCGAATAGCCATTTGCGCGGAGACTCTAGTGATTCTTATAGCGAATGAATGGAAGTGAAATTGAATAGACGTTATAACAGCAATGAATAATTCAGATGCGACGTGAACCGAGAAACATCAAGAAGAATATTCGCGAATATCGCGAGCAAAATTCAGCAACACCGAACACTCGAGACTTTCAGCCGAAACGAAGTACGATTCCGACCAATCCGGTTTCCAATGCTGAAACAATCGAACCCTCCCAACCCTCAAGATTCCTAAGTTTAAAAATTTTCTCTATTAGCATGTAGCATGTTTTAAAATTAAAAAAAAATATATAATAAAAAAAAAACGCGAGGGCGTCTATGATTTACACATACGTATGCGTTATTAAGTAACGGAGGCACGCGAAGTTGGCGAAACCTTCGCCAATTGGAATATGCTTTTTCAAAATTTATGAGGGACTTTAGTTTTATCTTGTATGTAATTGTGGAATATTTGGCTGCGTGTATTTCACTTTGAATGCCAACAACCGTTGGCTGTATATTACATGAGCCATGTATTTTGTTTTGTGATATCAACATAAAATATTTAAAGATTTAATTCCCTAACTTTTCCCGTCGACTGCCTCGTGCTACAATAGCGAAGAAAAAAAAAGAGATAAAAAATGAAATCTTCTTAATTGACAGTCTCAAGTTTCTCAAATTCTATGTACATTGCCGTTATTCATTAGATTTATTATCTGATATAAAAACAAGCCTTCACTACAATTATTGAATCGCAAAAATTCTTCTTTTCTATCTTT